AGCTGGGACACAGACTCAGGGAAGATGGGGCAGGGCATTGGACTCTGGGTGAAGACTCAAGCAGGCTTGAGACACCTGACTAGATTCCAGTGTTTGGGAACCACTGCTGTGTACCAGATGGATCCGCTGCTGGCCATGGGACCAGCCCAAAACACCAGGTGGATGCTCATTCCAGCCTGGGGCACCCAGCAGAGACCCAGGTGTGCCTGGGACTGATGTAGGGAAATTCCAGTGGGCCCAGGGAGGGTGCTGGATGCTGAGTGGAATCTCGTGTGAGCCCAGGGCACTAGGCAGATCAGGCAGACCTTCAGCTAGTGCTGAGAGCCAGACAGAGCTCCAGTGGGCATGAGACTGTCCTGACACGCCAAGTGGAGCCTCCCGCAATTCTGGGCCACTCAATCAAGACACAGATGCATCTGAGACTGTGGCAAAGTGCAAGGTGGCAAGTCCACTGTACCCAGGGAGAGGACAGGGTGCCTGGTACTGAGTCGGGACTCCAGAAGGCGTGGAACACAGGCAGAGACTCATGAGGTTCTGGGGCTCTCTTGGAGACCTATGCAGCCCAGGACTGATGCTGGATGCCAGATGGAGTCTTCAGAGGGTGTAGGGGTGGTCCAGGGCAGTGAGCACTGGGTGGAGACTCAAGCAATCTTGGGATGCCAACCACAAACTCAAACAGGTCCAGTGTTACATATTTGCAAGATGGAGATGCTGGCAGGCATGGGACAAACTTGAAGTGACCAGCATGACTTAGGCATGCTTGGGACACTCACTGGGGACTTAAATGGGCCCAGTACTGACATGGGGTACCAAATGGTGGCAGGCACAAGTGGCTGGGTAGACTGGACAGTCACCACTACTTGTCTATCCTCTCACTGCCTGAGGTCGGGTGAGTGGGAAGGGAGCCTCCCCTGCCCTTGATGTGATGTGGCAAGTGAATTCATTGAGAAAGGCACTCACAAGAAAACCAAAAGGGCAGGAATGAACAAAGATTTATTAAGCCGGCTGATGGACAGTCTCTAACCAGGAGCCAGAGAAGATGTCTTCACTGATCTGGGTCGCAACTTCAGTGTAAGTATATTTTAGGTTTCCATAGTAACCATTACCTCATTTTGGGGAATTGCACAAGAATGCACAAAGTTTATCACAGAGTTTAATTTTCCCAGCAAGTCAGACAGCCAAATTCCAAATGACCATCACAGTTTAACTTTTAGCCCACTTCCCAGGCTTCCCATTTGTCCTGTTCTCACTTTATGACTGCTCTGAGGTGATGACTAACCAAGGGGACTGGAGTGAAGAATGGGAGTCAACTACAGCTTAAGTGAACTTTAAGTCACTTCTCTTAATAGGGAATTAGAAATAGAAAATGGAGTCTGTCTTGCCCTATCATGTGGACTCTGGCAAGGATGCTGCAGGGTGGCAGCTTTCTCAGTGTTTGGAGAGGGAATGATGGCATGAAGAGGCCCTATAGCCTCACACTATCCTGGGAGGCTAGTTTCTGCATCACTTCTTGGTTCTCTCCAGCTACTTGAGAATTTCTCAAGATGGCGGTTACTGGGGTGGATGAGGGTAGGAGCCCTGGCAGACCACTTCATCTCTTTTTAACTACTATCCAAGTGTTTTGTTTGATCTACATGTATCTTCTTTCAAACCGATTTACTTTATCAGGGTGTATGTCCCTCCACTGCTTACCATTACTTGGGTTTTTAGTTGATCTCCCCGAGTCTCTCCAATGTGACTTCTCCTCTCTTCAGCCATGTTGGATCCTCTCATCAACGTTCTCTTTGCATCAACATGACTTATGGGTACTTTTCATGAATTACACTGCTCTTCACTCTATTCTTTTAGCTTCCATTGCATGGCTTGAGGGTTTCCCATGGGGTTTTCTAGGGGCCTTCTGGTAGAAGCACAGAGCTCTAGCCAGTTGGGGTTGCTCTCAGCAAGGTGATTAGTATTCAGATTTTAGTGCCATGGCACACAAATCTCAAACATCCAAAACAGAATTATTTCTCTTCCATTTCCCTCCCCAAACCTTCTCTTCCTCTTGTGTTCACCATCTTGGTAAATGGTATTGTTCCATGTAGTTGCAAGCCAGAAGCCTTGGAGTTATCCTAGACTCCACTCACTCACTCACTCATTCACCTGCTTCTAGCACCTTCCCCACATACTTCTTTAACTTTGTTCTACCCCATTCCCCTTCATTCCAGCCACTATTAATTCCCATGCTTATATACACATTTCTCATTCTGTCTTATCCCTCTTCTCCTTCAACTTTTCTCATCAAACTCCATGTCTAATGTTTATCCCAAGCATTATCTTCTTTGCAGGGTTTCTCCCAGGATGTCCAGTCTATGTAGACCTTTGTCACATTAATAATTAATTTACTTGTCCCTCTCCACCACTGAGCTCTGAGGTTCCAAAGGTAGAGACCATGGCTGACTGCATCCTCATGTCAAATAGAGGATCTACCGCATAGTTGGTGTTTGATGCATGTTTGACAAATTAATGGATACTAATAATCCAATAAAACATCAATTAAGTATATTAATTAAATTTATTTTAAAGGTATAGAAATATTACCATTATAAAATGATTCTACCCTTAGCAGTCCCTGGCCCATAATAAGTATTCATTCTACAGACAGTCTCCAACTTTCAATGGTTCAATTTATGAGTTTTTGACTTCACAATGGTACAAAAGCTATGTGAATTCATTATTTCAAAATTCAAATTTGGACCTTTTCTTAGAGTAGCAATATGTGCTATGACACTCTCTCACCATGTTAGGCAGCAGTAGTTAACCACACAGCTTCCTATCACAAGGGAATCAATATTCTTCAGTGTGCTATGTTGCTAAATTATGATGTGGAAGGTGAGGTGTATTAAATACATTTTCAACTTGTGATATTTTCAATTAACGTTGTATTTATTGGCACATAACCCCATTGTAAGTTGAGGAGTATTCTTATATATTTTGCTGAATAAATGAACTAATAAATGCAGAGAAAACAGCCTTGACAATGGCAAGGAAATACTGAAGTGTTAGGAGATGGAGCATTATGGGTCATTAGCAGGGCACCAGCATCACAATTAGTGCTGGGAGAGTGGCGGGATGCCAGGAAATGGGGCAAGAGGGAAGAGTGAGAGAGAGATAAAGACTTCTGAGTTGGGCTCTGCTCCTGAGGCAGTGGGGATCCTACACCTCATTAAGCTCTCAGATGTGTGGTTTAGAAGAATCTGTCAGAAAAAAGAATGAATTGGTAGGAGTTAGGTGGGGCAGGACAAGTGAAGGAGAATGTTAGATTGTGGAAGACCAAATACAAGGTCACCCAGTAGCTTGGGGTCTAAAGTCTGAAGGTCTAGCTGGGTTGAATTCTAGAGACATTTCAGAAGACTGTACTAATCTTCCCAGGATAAGGATAGCTGGCTTTATCCCAAAGCTACAACTACGAACAGATGAGATTCTTGGTGCTCACACTGCCCATGATAAGCCAGCTTGTCCTTAGATATAATTAATAATTAGTTTGATCAGATTGTCATAGGCTGCAAAAAAAACCATCCACACTTGGCACCCATACTTCCTCTTAAATTACAGATGTTCTTGAAAAATACCATAAATACAGCAGGAGGAAGACACACTGGTTGTTTGCTCCTGATTTCTCCAGCCAAGAAGTGAAGGATTACACAATGGGAAAAACTAGGGGTCATTACAGGTGGTTACCAAACCTGAAAACCTCTCTTCCTCCTCCTTTTGCTCTAGGTTAGATGAAAGGAAAGTAGCCCAATGCTGTGGGTAATGGTCTAAACTTGACCCAAAGGTGAAAACTGGTTTGGACATCAGAAGATCCAGGACATCAGCTAGAATGTTTTGATATATCTCAAAGGGATTCAGCTTGCTATTAAGGCAAAGTTTCCCACTGGGCTGGCATGGTCAGTGTTCTGGGGTGGGCCATGGTTCACAGGCTTGCAGGAGCCCCTCTATCAGTCTGGGGACTATCAGAGCAGGGCATTATTTGTACATCTAGTTCACTTTTAAAAGTAGATTTAGGTGAGCTGGCAATTGCCTAGAAATGCTGCCACCCAGGAAACACTTTCAATAATGACCCCAGAATAAGGAAAGCATACTTGTGTTATGAAGTGTAGTTTTAAAAATAATAATACAGTATAAGAATACAATAGCTTGAATTACTCAATTTTAATTGCTTTAGGGAATGGCAATGATAACTGGAGGCATCCTAGTGATTGCTCTTTTGCTGTTCCAGTGTTCCCTGCTTCTTGTGGAAAGCCATTATTTTAAAGTCACTTGTCCTGTCACTGCTCCGCCAAGGCTATGAACCAGAAGGTGAAGCCTCATGATCCAAGATACTCAAGCGAGGTCCCGGAAAATGTCTCCTTTCCTATTTACGCTCCGTTGAGGAGGAAACTGGTTATGAACTTGGCAAACCTGCAATCAGTGGATAGTCTGAGATGTGAAGTTAACGTCAGATTCCAGAGCAATCACCATTTCATAGCAAACAACCTCTGTTTTGAATTTGTTGTCTGCAAGATTGACCCTCTGCTCTATTACTTACAATTTTATCTTTCTTTAAATTCTTAGGATATCAACAAATAGCAAAATTTGAAAATGAAGTGAACTTTGGACTCCTTGAAGAGGTGCAGTGCTCCCTTTGTCTCCCCAGCTGCCTTTCAATTTGCTTGGACCACTCTTTTCCTGGCTTTGTGGTTAGCTAATCTTCAGATTTCATTTTGGAGCTAAGCTTCTTTAGGCCTTCCATGCTTAAAGGAGGATCGAAGTTTAGTTGTTTTTGTACCCCAGACACCTAAGAGTAGTGTATGGTAAGCACTCAACTATTTGTAAAACGAATGAATGAATGAATAAATGGATGAAGGAATGGATGGACAGGTAGGGAGTAGACAGAGGAGGACACTTTCTTGGGATTCACGATTTAGGGAGGCCTCCTCCCACCCGTCCCGACCTCCTCTTGGTGCCTGTCCTTCCAGGCAGGCAAAAGAGACAAGTTTCCACCGCCAAAAGACGCTCTCCAGCAAGACCCTGCCCTCCCGCAAGAAGACTGCAAGCCTACGGCGAAGCAGCGGGTGGCAGCTCCAGCAGGGAGCGGAGCTGCCTCCTTAGTGCGCTCCTGCGGGCGCGCAGAGATTCTAAGCGCCCCGGTGCCCCGCGCTCGGTCTCCGGGGAGGGTGTGCAGCTACGAACAGGAGCTCTACGCAGGAGACAACCTGGCAGACAGTCCAAGCCGCAGAACGCCCACTCCCACCGTCACCCCTCCGGCGGCGCCCGCCTCCCGGAGACGCGCGGGCCGCGGGCGGGCGGTGGGGAGCGTTTCCCGGGGCGGGGCGACTCGCACATAGGCTCGGGCGGGCCTGGGCCCCCGTCCCGGTGTCGCGGGCTGCACCGTCTTGCTCCGCGGGGAGCGCCCGGGCCGGCCGGTCTCCGAGGTGAGTGCGGGCTGCAGCGGGATGCACGGCGGTCTCCGAGGGGAAGCCCTGGGTCCGAGCGGGCGGGGCGCACTCCGGGCGGAGCTCAGGGCGAGGACTGCGAGAGACGGAAAGAAGTGAACTTCTAAAGCGGCTCCGCGGACCTCGCCGGCTGCGGCAGTTGGCGAGCTCCGCTGCTGCTTTCCGCGTTTTGCACCGGCTGTGGGAGAATGCCAGGGCGCGCCCCGGCCCCTGCGGGCGCTCTGCATGCCGCGCGCACCTGCCGCGTCCCGGCCGAGGGCTGGCACGCGGCGGGCAAGCGAAGCCCCGGCAAAGGAACGCAGGAGGCGAACCCGTGAGCCGGGGACAGTCGCGGCCCAGTCCTACCCTTCCAGCCTGTGCGGCTGACCCTGCTCCTCGCACAGATCTAGTAAAGATGAGGTTGTGCTTTTATAGTCTGAGTGGGGAAGTGAAGCAGGAGAAAAAAGGCGTCTTGTATCAGTTCCCAGTTACATTCTCTTAGGAGCAGAATCCCAGCTGCCTGACTGGATTTCACAGTTTTGATAAGCGGAGGAGGCCAATTGGAAGAGGAGGGAATCTCAGAGTGAGGAACTGATTTTCTTTTCTATGTCCTCTTGTGATAAAGAGTTCCCCCTCCGTTTACAAGTTCACTCTAGGGGGCTGTTAAATGGGGGCTTTGCCCGCATGCGAGGGGGACTCCCACACAAGACCGCGGTGGTGCTGATGAGGAGCATCCGTGTCCGGACGATCCTAAGGCTTGTGATAGGAGGAACATCAGATCTCTTCTGTTGAGAATTTCTGTTGTGGTGACTACGCTTAGAATCCCACCACTCAGGAGGCTGAGGCAAGAGGATCCCTGCGAGCTTCAGGACAGCCAGGGCCTATGAAGTGAGTTCAAGGCCTGCCTGAACTGCTTAGGAAAATCCTGTCTCAAAA